CCGGCCGGGAGAGCAGGAGTACATCCCTCCCCGGACCCAAAAGCGAGCCCCAGCCCCCTGGAGGGGGGTGACACCTTGGTTCCCGACGGGGCAGAGAAGCAGTTCCCACCCGTTCCACCGTCCTCGGCAGCACCCGGGCACTGAAGCTGAGAGGCCCCAGTTTTGCGCCTCTGCTCCCACCACGGAGCCTGCAGGGCCCTCGCCGGGCCAACGCCCCGCGGTGCAGACAGCACCGGCCCCCAGGCAGAGGACCAGCTCCCCCCAAGCCTGCTGCTCCATGGGACCTGTTACAGCTTGGCAGGAGCCTGGCAAGGACCAGTGCAGATCAGGGCTATGGGCTCCTTCAGCTGCTCCAGCCCTGATGATGCCAAGGCCAGGCCTGTCCCTCAACCTGCACATCCCAGACCAGGAATGTCAGGGTCCCCTCCTCGGGCACCAGCCTGGTTCCTGCGCAGGAGGAGCAGGGAGTTACCCTACGGCTGCCCGTGGGTCGCTGGGAACAGGAAAAGCATGGAAACAGAAAAATTACAAACTTTATATAAGGAAAGGTGTGCCGTGATGGAGAGAGGGCTGAGGTCCTGCCAGTGGTAATGCATGCGGAGCCCAAGTTGCACTAGTCCTCTGCCACCTCCAAGCCCAGGATCTTCTTGACGTAGTTCTGGACATTGATGTGGAGCTGGGGGGCCGTAGCCGAGAAGGTCTCCATGGCCAGGGCCCGGGCTGACTCCGACCCGCCCCACATGGCACGGTAGAGGGGCAGGGTGTACTTCTGCTTTCCCTGCAGAGACAGAGCAGGGGTTACACCCCAACCTCCACCACGGCTCCAGTGGGGTGAAGCCCCAGGAGCCCCACATCCCCCCCAGGGCAGACCATCTCCAGCATCACCCTGGTCTTGGCCAGGGAGAGAGCACAGAGGAAAGGGACAGGATGGAAAATGCTGCCATGGGCACTGTGGCACCTGGAGAGGGCAGAAGACCTTGGCCTTAGAGAAAGAGTGGGCCCATATGAAACTCATCAAGTTCAACAAGGCCAAGTGCAGGGTCCTGCACCTGGGTCAGGGCAACCCTCGGTGTCAATCCAGGCTGGGGGATGAAGGGATGGAGAGCAGCCCCATGGAGAAGGACTTGGGGTACTGGTGGATGAAAAGCTGGACGTGAGCCGGCGACATGTGCTTGCAGCCCGGAAGGCCAACCACATCCTGGGCTGCACCCAAAGCCACGTGGCCAGCAGGGCGAGGGGGGAGATTCCGCCCCT